CAATCTTTAATTATTTTTTCCGATTTTTCGTATTGTCTTTGCAAGTTTAATTTTTAACACTCATTTTTATTAAGTCCAAAATATATTCCTAATACTTTTATCGGTTCTGGTGTCCACTTAATGTTTTCAACTTTATCTTTACAGGATTTTAAATTTCCGAGCCATATCCCCTCTGTTTTATTTCGATTAAGCTTTAGGCCTGAAAGTTATCCGAAAATTTCGATAATGTTCAAAGTTAATGAAACTTCTTGTTTTGAATTTAAAAATAAAGTGGTGTCATCTGCAAGCTGGCTTCACTTTAGAGTATGAGTTTTATTATCTAGTTTGATTTGAAAACCTTTAAATTTTTTATCTTGTCTTAATCTACAGGCTAAAATTTCAACAGCAATAACGAAAATTATAGAACTCGCGGGACACCCTTGACGGATCCCGCGCTCAATACTGAAGAGTCTTGAAATCCACCTATTATTTAATATACAACCCTTTATATCTGTATATAAAGTATTTATCCACTTCAATAAAGATTTCTGAAAGCCAAATTTCTTTAATGAACAATACATAAATTCCCATTCTAACGAGTCAAATGCCTTTGAAAAATCTAAAAAAAGAATTGCCCCGTCTACGTTGAATTTTTCTGAATAGTCTATAATATCTTGGATTTGTCTAATATTAAACCCAATATATCTGTTTTTTACATACCCGTTTTGATCACTGTGAATGATTTTATGCAATACTGGTTTAAGTCTTTGTGCAGGAGAATATGCTATAATTTTGGTATCTACATTAAATAAAGTAATTGGTCTATAATTGTCTAAATTTAACGGGTCATTTTTCTTATAAATAAGGGTAATTAATCCTAGTTTCTGTGAATTTGTCAATTCTTTTTTGTCATAACAATGGTTAAAGACATCTACAGCAAAATATTGTAAGTTGGACCAGAAAGATCTATAAAATTCAATTGGAAGACCATCAATACCCGGTGTTTTGTTAAGTTTCATTTTTAAAACCGAAATTGTACATTCCTCTATTGTCAGCTTTCCTTCAATTTCATTACTTTCGTGTGTAGTTAGTTTGCTGTTTATTTTTGTATTTTCAATATAATTCTCAATTTCTCCCAAGTCTGGCTTAGTTGACGTATATAAATTTACATAATAATGCCTCCCCGTTTCTAATATTTTACCTTGATCCTCAGTTATTTCCCCTTCACTGTCCCTTATAGCAGTTATATTTTTTCTTGTCTGTCTCGATTTCTCTAATCCCAAAAAATATTTTGTATTTTTTCGCCTTCTTCTACCCATTTAACTCTTGATCTTATTTGTGCCCCTTTTATTTTATCAGAATATAGAGTTTGTAACATTTCTTTTGTTTTCTTTATTTAATCTATTATGTTATATTTTTTCTTTTCATCAAGGACATTATCCTGAATTTCATTCAAAAGTTTTAGTTCTTGTTCTAATTCTTTAATTTCATCTCTTTAATTTTTAGCTTTAATTTTACAATGTTCAATAGTCGTCTCCTTTACCTCTATTTTAAACAGATCCCACACGATTGCTAAACCTTTTCGGTCTCTAAATGTTTCATATTTATCTATTAAAGTGTTTATTTTCATTTTGTATGATTCGTCTTTAAGAATACTATTGTTTAATTTGAAATAACCCTTTCCTTTCTCCCCCTGACAATGATTTGTCTTAAAGGGAAACTCCGCAAAAAAATGAAAAATTGATATGTTGTTCTTTAAGCATAAAAAATCACATTATCAAAAATATTAAAGTTTTATTCTCCATTTAAAGAGTTCAAAATCGATTTCTGAAATTAACTATCAGTTTTCGACATGCCGCCATCTTACCGGCATTCCCGATAGTAAAGTCACGTGATATCTAAAAACCACAAAGTTTCAAACGAATCGGGGATTTACCGACCGTTCGTTAAACTCCCCATCATCAATCGGGTATTACCGTATAGTCGTCATTCAGTGTCAAAATGTCTTGTCAAGCGTACGGTTGTTCTGTCCGACAAGGTTACGGCAAAAGTCTACATAGTTTTCCAGATCCCACAAAAAAGACAGAATTATATCAGACATGGTTGTGCAACCTTAACCTTACATCAAATAGTTTCATCTTTAACAAGCACAAATTGGTGTGTGAAGACCATTTTGACAAAACTTGTTTCGAAGGAAATTTGATGGTAATTATACTATTTTAATAACAAAATAACCTAGCAGTTATATATAGCTATAATATTGTCAAATCCTTAAATGATGAGATCACGTTGATTGAAAAATAATAAAGTTGATGAGGAAATAAAGGTTCTATTATAAGTAAGGCATTTTCAGTGTTTTTGTAACGGTCACTGACTCACAAAAGATTCATTAGTATGTCTTTTTTTTATAGAGTGCATTGGTTTATATAAAGAATAGTTCCGTATTTAGACAAGATAATTTTTTGAATTAATAAAGTTATACGATAAATAACATTTTTTATTATGATATTCAACAGCTATCGACATTTCAATTATAAAAGAGCAAATTCAGTGTTCTTGTAACAGTCACTGAATTACGAAAGATTCATTTGTAAGTCTCTTTTATATAAAGTGCATTGGTATATATAAAGAATAGTTCTGTATTAAGACATGAAGACATGATAATTGTTGAATAAATCAAGTTCAACGATATTTTTTTTTACTCTAAAATTGACACGAAGCAATGTTTTAGTTGGGTCATAAATTAATATGTTGATATAGTATAATAATCCCAGGTTATTGATATGTAAATATCGGAATATCGGACATCTCATTTTTTTTTTCATATATGGTGTGCTTATTAAAATTGCTTTTTTTTAACTACATGTAAGCTTTACGTAATATTAAATTGATACGGGATCAATTTAGATCGGTCACTTATAAAGATGCTTTTACAGATTAACGTGTGACCCTAGTATGTTCGTTGTAAAATTGATAGTTTTTTTTTCTATTTACGACATCTTCTAAATTAATGTTTCGGCTTCCTCTCGAATTGATTATAGGCATGTCAGACTGGATAAATTATTGATGGAGGTCGTGTCAGAGCGACAGATTTCGTTAGGTATTCCGGTGACATCCTGTCGACTAAAAATTCGTAATACACAATTATATAATACAGGTCCATGCATGGCCTCTTTATTGAGTACCAGGTGTGCACAGGTAACATTTATTGTACCATAAAACTATCAGCTGTAATATACATCCTGTGTACAACTGAGTCTGAAAAAACATAATGAACGTTGTTGATCTTGTGCGTGTTTGAAATTATAATTCCACCTGTTAATGAATGATATTCTGATATTTATTATCCACTAGTTTTGGCTGAAAAAAAGTTAAAAATAATCATTTATAAACATGACCTTCGGAAATTTTTGTATAAGAAATACTGTTTTTGCATAATTGTGGACTCTTTTTTTGGAAAAAAAAACCGAACTTTTATTGACGCAAATACGGCGCTTTTGTCGATTGGCAAACATGTAGATATAAAGTAATGCAGCACTTATCTGCTTATCTTCACTATCAAGATTACTTTATTGAAGATTCTATGTCTAATGTCCCTATCTTTATAAGGATTAATAAATTGTTGAATGAAAATTTAAAATTGAAAAAAATTGTACAAAGGGAAAAATATTTCTAGGAACCTCGAAGCTACTTTGATAGTTTGTTGTAAGCACTGTTAGAATTTTACATGAAATTTATTTATGCCATAGTTTTTTTTTCTGATCAGCGGAAAATATAAAAACATTGATGTATGAAGACAAATTTTTCTTTGCAAGTAACAAATGCAGAAAAAGAGGTCACGGATAAAAGTCACATATAGTATACCTTTTGCAATAAAAATTGTCAAATTGTCATAAAACTTTAGTTGAAAAGTTAAAAATTTATTTTTTATAAGAAATATTGTCATATCTAGGAAAACTAATGTTTGTTATCCATTTTTGCCTACCTCTAGAAACTATAACAAATATAGAGAGCAACTATGAATTGCACAAAATGACTAGCAAGTCAATCAAGGTCTTCAGAGCATTCAGTGGTCCTGGGTGACATAAAAATGTTTGCAGATTTCCTTTGAATGACCATGCCCAAAAAATATGCATACGTACATGTAGGTAGTGAACGATGGTTTTTTTATTCATTTATTTTTTTTTTGGGGGTTGGGGGTGGGGTGTTCTCCAAAGAAATACATTTCATTTAAAACGGGTTTTGCTTTGCCGCGCGATCATTCATTTTTTTTCACGTCAGCTTGTTTTACACACCTCTGATACTTTAAATATATGATGTGCATAATTTTGGTTCTTTTTTTAAATATTAGAAGTATGCTTAATCTGTGATAGGATTGGAACGAAATTGTTAATATATGTATTATGTGATATCGCTAGACGGTCTGTATATTGAATTGTAGCGGGTCTTATATCAGTGTGGAGTACTCTAGGTCTCACGTCTTGACTAACAAGAAAATAATCAATTCTACTAGCTACTTCATTATTTTTTCTTCTCCAGGTATATTGTGTTTTATTTGGATTTATTACTCTCCAGATGTCTATAAATTTTAGTTTTTATATTAAACTTTTCAACGCATTTGTCTTATTTTTTTATTTTTTGTTTATCTTTTCTATTACTTTTTCTATCTTTTATATTAAGCGTTTCATTCATATCTCCCCCTATAATAAGTATACCAAGGCTATATTTTTCAATGACACTTAAAGCTTTTGTAAAGAATATATTTCTATCTTTACATGTGTTTGGGGCGTAAAGGTTAACAAAAGTAAATATATTTTTTATCAATTTCTATGTTGATTAAAACAATTCTTCCCTCTTGATCTACATACTTGTCAATAATTTCATGTTTAATTATTTTGTTAATGTAAATCGAAACACCCTTTGCTTGTGTAGTTCCAAAACTATGATATAATTCTCCAGTGAATTCTTTGTCTATAGAATTATCCGAAAAATGAGTTTCTTCTAAAAATATTATATTGCATTTCTGTTGTCTCATCCATTCTTTTAGTCTAATTCTTTTTTCATGTTTTCTCAACCCCTGACAATTTAAAGAACATATGTGTAATAGATTAAGTGACATCTTGGTTGTTTTTTTTAAAAGTATTCGATGATAAATAAATAAACAAAAATAAAACATACAGGTATTTACAACTATAGAAATTAGAGACAAAATAAATGACACACATATATCATCAATGACAGATTTAACCTTCACCCTGTGAGTTGCAATATATATACATGTACGCACATACATTTAATTCCATATTGACCGACTTTGATAGGTTTCCACCTGTTTCTATATTTAGAATCATTGACTGATAAAATATATCGACCTTCACATGTGTAACAATTGATTTCCACGAGCATCGACACTATATTAACCGGCATACCTTACATTGAAATATATAATTGTGTTGGATGTATAACAAATGTTTCTAAATGGGTAAGTATTTTGTTTATAAATAATTATTTGTATACTTTTAAAAAGTTTTCAGAAAGTATAACAGCGAAATTAGAGTTCCATATAAACTGAAAGATTATTTTCAGATGCTTTCGCATGCGTATGATATATATAAACAGACATGATTGTTCGGTTTACTTGGGTTGTCTTTACTAATACGGAGATTTATCAATTTAAGGAAATCATTAGTACCATGGATAAATATTGTTTGATTGTATATTGAAATTTTCGCAGCTACTATAAAATATTGATAATTATCTATATAGATAAAAAGGTATAAATAGATCAAACTGATTTGTTTACATTTTTTACACAGGTGAGTGGAGATAGCGATGTGATTAATTTGCATATCTATGTAATTAGCTAAGTGTTTTGTAGTATATTGTAAATATATTTATAGGGCTATACGACGTAAACGCACATATACATTTTTCTATACATTAAAACAAAATAATTACATATTCATGTATAACTATACTAGTTATTTCATGTGAAAAGTTTATTATCTCATTCATGGTCTATATATTCTATATTGACAAACATCTATATATAAGTTATTTGTTGTAATGATATTGTGCAGAGTATATACAATCTAAGGGTACTGTATCATACACTGCCACATATTTTTTATTATGTTTTTCATAGCTATAGATAAAATAGGAATATTTACAGATGTTTATACAAGTATATATCATTTTGATCATTTAGAGATCAGTAGAAAATGTTGAAAGAACATGATATATGGTAACTGTTCTTAGACCATGTAGACCTATGTCTTTGAAGCTTTGCTGGAGTCAGTTTCTCTATTGTGGTATTCATCGGTTGGGGTTGTTGCTGTTCTATTTCCATGTTTTTGTAGTGGTGTGTTGATTTCAGAATTCAAAATAAATTTGTCAATTGGACCTTTTGCATCTGATTTTGCCTTGTTTTTTGTTTTATCTTTTTTGTTTTGTTTGTTTTGTTTCTTTTTCTGTAGTTCAGACTCAGTTTCTTTATTTGTGACTTCACTGATTTCTGTTGATGTATCTGTTATTGCATCTGTAGGTTGCAATATGGACTGTGAAGGTGGTATTTCACTGTGATCAACATGATCACCAATGTCAGTCTCATTCCCACTTTCACTTTCACTTGAATCAGATTGATCATCATTGTTATTCACTTTAGTGTCTGATACTTTTGTAGTTGGAGTTTGGCATTCTTTTGCGTTATGCCCTTCTTTTCCACATTGGTTACAGATCCAATTGTTTTGGCACTTTTCTTGTTTGTGTCCCTTTTCAGACATTTCTGACAAGTTATGTAGGGATTTATGTAGATTTGTCCTTTATAATAAATTTTGGCATTGTACTTTCCAATTTTTGTGAATCTGGGCAAAGTGCCTTCCAATGGTTGTACATAGAAGATTCTGTCTCCAGATTGGCAGTCAGTGAGAAAACCATCTATTCTCAGTCTCTCTCTGAAATAGCTTGTTATAACTACGCCAATAGACTGGAAGAACCCGAAAATTTGACCGTCATCAGCTGATAATGGAATATTGGAGACACGTACTCTGAGATATTCTGGCTGGTCATTTACAGTTATTCTTGGATTTTTATTATAGATTGTTAAAAGTTTATTACGTATAGATACGCCAGATATGAGGAGGTGGTCTCTTGCTTCTTCTTGTGCAAGGTAAATGCGCCACATTCCCTTGACTCTTTGTAATCCCTTCATTTGGTATCTTGGTATCTCTGTGCCGATACTTTTGAATACTTCTTCGTGTGTTAAGAAATCTTTTTGTTGAAGTATTGAATTGCCGAATAAATCTGTCTCAAGGATAAATACGGGCTTTACTGACGACAGTTCTTCAAGATTATCATTTTGATTATCATGATTTTGATTTGCTGGTTTTGAAACAGCGCCGGCATATGAGTTGTTGTCGGCCATGTTGTTTGTTTTGGTTTAGTTGACGGGTTAGTTATATTAAATTTATGGTTTTAAGAGTTTATATAAACTGTTAAATATACGTTTCTACCATTCCTGATGATTGTTTTCTGTAGCAAAATATAAATTGGTAGTCCTAGACGGTTATTTAACTTATTATTAGACTAATTTTGAGGAGCATGAAAAGTTCCGTGGATATCGTTCGATGCCCCTTAGATCCTTTTTCTAAGAAAAATTCATTTGTTTACATTTGGTCCAGTAGTTTCAGAAAAGATTTTTATTTTGAATTACGGTCGCCAAGTCAATAGCTCAAATGGCCCTTTGATCCAGGTGAGCTTAGAGCGATACAGGCTGATATACAGTTGGAAAAAATCTCATTTTTGTGTGTGTTATCTTGGGTTATTAGTCTGCAATCTCTGAAAAATTCTAGTCTGCCCTTCCATGAAATATGTAAATAGATTTGTGTTAGTGTTATATTGAACTTCCGAAAATCCCCCCTGACAACAGATCAGACAATAATTTTATATTGAGGAAAGGCTGAAAAGTATAGGAAATGATGCTTAGCTAACAGATACATTTGTTTTATATCTCACCTGGACCCTCATTTTGGGAAATGTTTTCAGGGTAAAATTATTATCTGCCGTAGTCGAAAATCGTTCATAATCATCTGCATCAAATGATTTGCTATCCGCTAATTCAGAATTTAAAAACTATTACAATGCTTAGCAACTTTCACCGTAACCTCCATCCCCCTTTTCTCCATAAAAAACACTAATTTTGTCATCCTTTTAGTAAAAACCATATTTTAACATTCTGATTTAAGCTGCTGAGGACACGTGGCTCTTACGCACAGAAACAAGATTGAAAATCATTTGGTTGATTAAAAAGAAAAGTATCTAAAGTACCACACAAATTTGTCAGGGAAACGATATCCAGGATGCTAAGGCTGCACCTAATTTATTATCTAAACTCATCTTAGAAGTGTGCGGCCTCACCTGATATTTTACCATGACAAAGTCAATGTGAAAAAAGTCGATCTTTATTCTATATTTATGCTAACCTTTTTTATGCAAAACCTTATACATTTTGACTTTACATTTTGACTTTTCGAGTCATTGTTAAAGGTCGTACCATGACCTATAGTAACTGTTGTTTACACCTACGTCATTTGGTTTCTGGTGGATAGTTGTCCAAATTGCAATCATACCACATTTTCTTTTTTTATATAGGTATCGGATATTTTGCACCGTCTTTTGGTGGTCAAGTAAAAGGAACATATCAATCCCGCAAATTACATGCATATTCTCTTATCTAAAAAATTATAATGAACAAAGTACACTTAACTTTGCTCATTTGAAATATTTCATTCACCAAATGTATACTGGGTATATTTTCTATCAATTACACAAATTCTCTGCATCTTTGATCTTGAATATTTGCCACTTTTTACTAAAATATAAAGGCACAGAACCAGGACATAGGTGCAAAGAACCAGGACCGTTTTTCGAATCACCAGCACATCATCAGGACAATTTCGTTTGACGAATTTGCACGACTTTTGCAATAAAAAATCGTTGTAATATACCTAGCAAGGTACGTATGACGTATTACTGAAAAATTAAGCGACAAAACGGTTGTTTTATTGTCGTTTTAATACAATGTAAACAAACTCACCAACACAGAATCAGGACCCACCAGCACCAGCACAGAACGTTCTCTCGCAGAAAACCTTACCCACCGTGTAAATTGGAGGGAGTGAACTGGTGGTTTGACACCTAAAGGTCACCGTACGGCCTTCAACAATGAGCAAAGCCCATACCGCATAGTCAGCTATAAAATGCCCCATGACAAATGTAATACAATTCAAACGAGAAAACTAACGGCCTAATTTATGTACAAAACAATGAACGAAAAACAAACGACAATCACTGAATTACAGGCTCCTGACTTGGGACAGACACTTACATACAGAATGTGGCGGGGTTAAACATGTTAGTGGGATCCCAACCCTCCCCTAACCTGAGACAGTGGTGTAACAGTACAACATGTTGAAGACCGTACTTTGACCTATAATGGTTTACTTTTACAAATACCACATCTTCTTATATCTATATAAAAATTAGTTGAAAAATGCTTTACTCATCAGATGGATACAAATAGAAATACATCTAACAAAAACACAGAGTGGACGTGGCCGGGTACATGTACATTCCAACAACAAAAAGACACGAAGTACAGATCTGAGAGTACTCTCAGTAACTGACAGCTAGTTCAAAGCCAATAACAACTAATAACAAAAATCATGTATCTACGACTTAATTATCAATCATTACACATCCAACATCCAATGGATTTAGTGTAAAGATGTCATAAACAGTCAGAGAAAAACATGACCTTGTGCAATGACAAGAGACAGCTATCGACAGATTTTAGATCCATGAATGTGCATATGTATATAACAATAATATTTAGTTTCCCCATTTCCATTCTCAATTTTATTGATACCAACAAAAACAATATTCAAAGATCTAATTACAGTGTTGAATTGGTAACCTTTTAGAATAAGTGTATTTAAAGGATCGATAAATTTACAAGGATCGTTTCTAAATGTCCGGGCACAGTAAACAACATTTCCGTAGACATGAGGATGGGCTTTCCCATTTGAAATAAGTTTTCTACAGGTACAACCAAACTTCAAAACCAAATCTTTATATCTATGGAAGAATTTAGTAAAGGTTTAAAGTAATTTGTGGTAACTAAATCCCTGACCTAATAATTTACAAGTAATACATAGATTACGTTAATTAAAATCCAAAACGTCTCAAACAGACACGGACATAGAGAACGAAAAACAGTTTATTTTCATTTACTATCACGTGTTCGTATCCATTGCAGGTTGAATGACCATAAAATAGTTGTCAAAGGTACCAGGCTTATAATTTTATACGCCAGACACGCATTTCGTCTTTATAAAACTCATCAGTGAATAGTTAGAAAGCCAAACAAGTTCAAAGTTGAAGAGCACTGAGGACCCAAAATCCCAAAAAGTTGTGCCAAATACG